GGGGGGAGGAGAGAGAGAGAGAGAGAGCCTACCCTGAAAGATGTTGCTTGTCTGCCTTAGTCTGTGCTGTATGGTGATAAGCCCTGAGTTTTGAGACCAATTCAGTTGCATCCTTGGCAGCATTTACAGCAAGTACCTATTATTAATGCGTAAGGGCATCAGATAACAAATAGAGAAACAACAAAAAGGTATAGGAACAAATTAAACAAGAAAAATAGACACCCTCAAAAGCACACCTTAGGTATGATCAAAAGGGACTCAGCAAACTCAGCAATAGCAAGTTGCTCTCTAGATCCCAGAGTGGTTGCAAGATATTCTAAATATACAGATAATGCAGCCTCAACCGCACCACCACCTGCAACAACCTGCCCATCCATAGTGCACAAAAAGTGATTCAACATTGATACACATCAAGTGATTCCCACAATTGATTAGTAATGAAAGCATGTTTTTCTTTTCTTTTCTTTTACAACACAAAACCTTTCATTTTTTTTCCCCCTTTGTATCTTGTAAGTGTATCCACACAAAGCATATGTACTATCAATAGTACAAAAACAATACCATGTTGGACTCAAGAACTCTCTTAACAATACATATTGCGTCGTGCAAAGAGCGCTCCATCTCATCCAGCATAAAGTCATTGGCACCTCTAAGAATTAAAGAAACCTGCATAACCCCGCACAAGATGGTGGCTTAGTTGAGTGAAAATTTCAAAAGTGAGCACATGAAAACCCACATGCAAGAATGGCTATGGTTCTGAGTACAAACATCCACAAGAAGGGTACGTCATATAATACAGAGGCCAAGGGGGTATCCACCATCCATTTTCAAGATAAGAGGGTGAAGATCAAGCTTAATGTAGAGATTAAGGGGATTCAGTCAGAACTAGCTCCTCTCCGTAGTCCATCTTTAAATAAATAAGGTAGATTCCCCTCCAACATTTTTTATGGCGCATACATTATGTGTATCCCATATTTTCACAAGCCTCAAAAGTCACTCACCGCACTTGTGGTTTTGGTTCCCTTCACCAATATAACATCATCATCAGCAAGGTGCTCCTCAACAACTTCATCAGCATAGCCAAGAAGTGATGAATCAAATGTCTCCTCCCCTTCCATGTCAGCAAACGTGAGAACCTACAAGGTGACTCTGAATTTTCAATGGAATGTAACCATGTACTAATCAACATCATCTCCATTTTAAGCAAATAAAGAAACTATAAAAAGCAAGCAATGAGGGAATAATGCTGTACAAAAACAAGCAAGAACAACGGATTAATTATTTAATATTTATGCATGCCTTCTAGATTAATGGGCTAGAGACTCCCATAGAATGAAATAAAGATCCCGAATATACCATTAATCTCGAGGATTTCATAAAATAGAGGCTCTGACTAGTGTCATAAAAGGCAATACAAGATCCCATGATGAGTAAATCTACAAAATCATTAGATCGCATATCCATACAAAGTGAAAATTTAAAATTTATAATTGCAAGAGGGGATAAGATCTTGGAAAAGGTCTAAAGATGCCAAGGGGAAATTGAGCTCAAACAAAGTTGATGAATTCTAAAACACTCTTCCAGAGCCTGGAACTCATTGACTTTTAGATCCACCCAAACAAAAATTTTGCATTATTGATTGGACGTTACTCATAAAGTCAAATAACTTAGCGATGTCTTCAAAAAATTCAGGTGACTTCAAGTTTGAGTAGATTAATTTTTCCCCTACATTCGCTCCAAAGTGACTTTTATGTGTTCACACACTACCAGGATTTGTCGGCCTGAATTTGGTGAAGTTATTGTCAATAAACTCAGCCCAAATTCACAGGCATTTTGGGAAGTTTAAAGCTTTAAAGTTCTACACAAGATCTTTGAAGCTTGTGCAGAACATGGACTATAATTTCAGTAATGACATGTAACAAGGTCTAGAGTTAAAACTTCAACTGAAATACAACATGTCAACAATCAACATAAATGTTTAAGGTTCTCGGAGTAGGTCAATTTGGGAAAAGCTGTGTAGCAAAGGTGAGACAGCCAAGGGAATGACCATTTCCATGAAGCTAGTTACAAGCAAAGAAGAAAAAAGACCACTGTTACTTAACATTGCACATGAGATTTGACTGTATATAAAATTGTGTTTATAAAAACATACCTGAGTTGCCCCAGTTGCCTTGGCAACATGGCGCAAGTCCTCTTTCCGGACACGCCTTACAGCAATAGCACCAGCTTCAACAAAATACTGAATAGGGATAATGCATTAGTAAAGTCAAAAGAAGATAAGTAAAAACGTGAAAATTCATAATGTAGTTAAAGAACATACCTTTAGAGCCATGTCATCAATACCTTTTGTCGTTAATATCACATTTGCTCCTGCTTTCAAAAGTTTTTCAATCCTCTCCTTTGTTATGTCAGCCTCTCTGCAATGACACAAGTTTAATAAGCATTGGCAGACACTATATGACAAAGTTATAAGGAAATGAGTGATTGAAAGTGTGCACGCCTGCCTGCCTGCCTCTAGGATAAAAATAATAAGCTGCCAACAATATTACAAGAAAGAAGCACAGCAAATTTACGGGGAATACAAGAGAAGGAACCAAGACATCCAAGAGGATTAATAAATATAACAAGAAAACATCTCAAAACAGAGAACAAACATGATTTCCAAACTACAATGAGATCAGCAAATGTGCTTCTAGACCTCATAAACAAAACAAAATTCGAACCTGAATGGTCAACGAACTAAAGAACTTCTAACTCAAATTATGGTAAAAATCCAATAGTAATTTTAATAACAAATGCATTTTAGAGACAGTTGCAACAATATTTTCCGAAATTCAACAAAAGAATGTTTTCCAGTTCATAACTCCCACTTTGCCATGTGCTAGCCAAATTTCCCCCATGTTTCCCTTGCATTTAACGTAACTTCTCTATCGATCAGTAGAGTGCTTCCCATAAATTCACAAGTATACTTCGTAGGAGATTCTTGAGGGTTATATCAACATTTTTCCTTTGCGATCATCCATGCATCTTGATGTAGTTTCAGAATGATCTCAAGCCTCTCCAATTAGAGGCATTCTCAACACTGCATTTTTTGACACCGATATCCGATACTAAATCCAATGAAGTTGAAGAAGCACTGAAGCACTAGCACCCAAATCATATCAGTTTGATTGCACAAGAATAGACTAGTATGGAAGACCTCCAAGGAAGCCAAAATATATCACCCGCACTAAACATGTAAAAATAAAAAAGAAAAAACAACTACGAAAGAGGGTCGCACACTAGTGACTTAGAAAAAATGCCTCGAGAGTCCTTAATAAACTGAATAAATGGTTGGAGGAAAAAAGATGACTAGAGAGTCCTTAATAAACTCAATAATGGTTGAATACAAGATTCATAAACATGCATATAACACAACACTGAGTTCAATCCAACTTTTGACACCCCAAGTTTGGATGCCACATGCGTTTTGGTCATCATGTGGTCGGTGCTCCACCTGGAGCCCTTCAATTTGTAAGCTAGATGAAAATCAGTATTTTCAGTTGCCATGCAACTCACAAATTGCGATGTTTGTTGGGTGAACACACACCCAAATTAGAGTATAAAGTGGGACCCAAACGTGCCACCAAGCATAAATGGCTCATCACCCAAAAAAGCGCCAAGCCATGGTTCGACGGATTGAGCAATTGCCCACAAACAATAAAATAAGGACCAAATCAAGTAAACAAACCATCCTCGCCCAGAATATATGCACCACTGTGAGGCTATCCATGAAAACCATCTATGACTCTTGGAAACTGCCAGAGTTTAAAATGGTGGTCACCTTTGACGAATTTTCTCAAGTTCCCTTGGATCAGAGACCAAGACCTGGACACCCATTTGCATTTTGGTCTTCTGAAGATTGAAATCAATACAAGCAATTCTTGCAGGTGCTACTCTTGTAGGCATTCCTTGTGCTGCCCTTCCTGTATTGAGAGCATAGCCGTTTAACAAATAACTCTCCTTTGCACTTTTTCCATGGGCTTTCAGAATGTTGATGCCCTGTAGTGAAAAAAGAGAACATCTCTAAGCATCAGGACGAAATGGCAACAGAAGGATGGCAATAATTCAAAAAGTAGCGGTCACACAAGTACATCAACCAATTCAAATACAATCCCAGTTACGACCACCAAGAAGAATGCTTTCAGAGCAAGGATGTATAAAGGTTAAGGCAATTGAAACAATAAGCAGCTCCTCACATTTGACCATAAAATAAAAGAGAACATGAATAGAAATCGCAGAAAAACTGGGTGGTGAGTTATTCATAAAAAGTGGCTTCTTCTGGTCAAATAAACCTTGAAAAATAATCCACCATATAAACAAATTGGAGAATAACTAAAAGCTAAATAGCCAAACTAAAAGTCTGGCTCATGAAAAATTAAAGGTTCGCCAAAGCACGACCTTAGTCAGCAACACAATGCCACAAGTAATACAGATAATTCTTAGTAAGCCACAAAAATAAATGCCCTAGCCCAGAACTTATGTAGATTTACTTCATATTTTTTTCTTATACACAAATGAACATACCAAGGCTTTGTAAAGGGGCAAAAAAAAGAAACACCATCAAGGTATAAGTTAGATGCACAAAGCCTTGCATAAAGCAATCACCTTGATAGGGTATTTGACTTCACCCCTATTGTTTGTAGTCTTTACAGCTTGAACTGCATCAACAACCTGGAAGAATCACTCAAAATGAATATGCAGCAAGGAAAACAGTAGAAGGAAAACATTAATAAAACACAAGAACAAAACTAAAAAAGAAATAACATTAAAACTTTATATTAAAAAGTTAAAACACTCTCCACATATCTATTCTAGACTATATACCAAAATTACCACAATAATAAATCTATTTTTTTAACGTAATATATCCATTAATTTTAGCATGACATGAGGAGTGCTATGCAACAAAAGTGCCTACAGAAACTACACATCATTCCTACATCAGATGTCAACAGCGAACAGCTAGGGTTTGACATTCCTCCGCTCAAAATTCGTCAAAATACTTGATGAACTTCATGAACTTTGAGAGAAGAAACAACATACCCAGCCATTAATGTTGACATCCAACAGCTGCGCTCATTATATATGAGCCCCTAAAATTAAACCAGATAGCTAGAAATATTGATGGACATAGAATCATCAAAATGAAACAAAAATAAAATAAAAATTGAACAGAACAAATAGGAGGAAATATTGAGGGCCCTACCAATGTCGCAAATAAGTCACTGTCAATGTTAATCAGCTTTGAAGACATACTAGTCTTGGCACAGTTTATAAGTGAGTCTTTGCCAAGCTTGTCAACCTGACTATGGAGATTTAGTAGGCATGAGTAAAGTCACAAAAAAAATTTTAGAAAATCAATTGACAGAAAGAAACTGAAACTGGGTGTACCTTCACAGACAGCTTTTCTTCAACATATTTGCAGGCTTCTCTCATGGCAAGCTGTCCAAAAAACATAAGGATACATGACACATCTTTATGCATCTAAAATGATTTATTTTTTTTAAGTGTTAACAGTGGGAATGGAGTCTAGGACATTACATTGAGGCACCTGCCCCCCTAACCACCAATGCCCTGAACCCATTCCCATGTATAAAATGATGCATTAGTACGTTATCCAATACACATTTTCCAATTTGCACATGTAAATAACATTCTGCATGATATATTTATAATTTCGTCTGTCTAACTAATCTAATTTAACATTCAGAAACATGGGATTACTGGTTTTTATAGATTGTTGCATATTGTTTAAAAAGAACATATAAAGCATAAATACATGAAGAAGAACAAAGAATAATATATCTAAATCACCCACTCTATATCCACTGATTATAGATGTTGGATGAATTTTGTTCCGGACAAGATCATTTGCTCTCTGCAAAATTAAAAACCCAAAACATATCAAATTCTAGTGCGACAGGAAACGAGAATATCAGGTAACTTAAACCAAAGGCATAACAAAAATCACAAACTAATGTTGTATAGAATCCTCATGTACCTTGAGCAGTTCAGCAGCAATAATAACTACAGAAGTTGTTCCATCTCCAACTTCTCGATCTTGAAGTTCCGCCAACTCTACTAGAACCTAAAATGACGGAATGGAAATTAGAAGTGACAAGAGCAAATAAAAGTTACCAGGAAAACACTAGCAAACCCATTACCTCATGGGTCAGTACGCTATAATCCAATAGAGTATCGTATACCTTGCTCCAAAGGGCATCTTCCATTATCCCTTGCAATGATTGCAAGATTAACTATAGCAGAGCAGGACATCAACCCAACTATAGTTGATCTCTATCCATACAGCATTATGAACGGATGGTGGATGACCCTCTGGAGTTGTACTCCATTGGATTATGCGATACTTTCCCAATAACTTAGAAGTTGAAACAGGCCATCATATTTTATTTCCTTCATTGTTACTTAGTTATATATTTTATGTTAGGTTTCATATAATTCAATGAAAGCCGATAATACCTTAGCAGCGGGGTGTTCCACCTCCAACATCTTTAGGATGGTTGCCCCATCATTAGTGATTGTAACATCTCCAATGTCATCAACAAGCATCTGAAAGATTGAATTGCTAGATAAATCCTAGAGTGCCACTTTCAGATATGGAAGAAAAAAATACCAACCATAAAAGAGCAATTGAGAGATCTAGACGTGCAAGTTGGCAGAACCAATTGCACACCTATAACAAATATTTTGAAAATAACACACAAAAGTTTAAGTTTTTTTTTTTTAAAGTTGTTAACTGTCTCACAAAAGAATACGTTTTCCAGGGACAGTTTCATTACTAGAAAATAAAATGCTGGCATAATTTGTTCCAATATCAATATATTTCAGTAATTCATACACTTAGGTGTAGCCGTATTGTAAAATGAACACAAGAAAATATTATTACTAGTGACCAATAAAGTTAAAATTATATAGTAAACATGTGTACGAGGTCACATGCGATGATTTCAGCTGTGCCTCAAATGAAGTTATGCGCAAATAGCTAAACACAAAGAACTCGTCACATTGTAAGAGCAGTTTAGCACATTGACAAATAAAGGCAACATAGAAAACAGCTAGCAAAATCGTACTAACCTGTTTGATCTAAATATTTTATTATTAAAATCAAATGCAAGCCCCCTTACCTTGTCTAGACCAACAGGTCCCAGTGAAGACTTCACAATGTTAGCAACAGCTTGACATGCCATTACTGCCACCATACCACAAAACAACACAAAAATAAAGGTAACATTCAGTTTTATCATGCTAAAATACGCCATAGATTTACAGCATTAAAAATGTGATGCATTATGACATTCTTCAGCAGTGGAATAACATTCTTCAACATGATTAAAAAGAAAATCTATGGAAGAATATCGAGAAAAAAGGTAATGGCACAATATGTTCACAATACACAAAAGAAAAATAAGTACCTATCCAATGATCAACAAATCAAAGTATCACCTTCAGTAAAAAGCAACAAATTTAGAAAGTAAAATGCACCCAAACTGAGGCATATTAATACACTGTTTGTCTTGTAACTTAGGCATGTAAGTATACCGTCTGTTTTGCGGCTAACTAAAACACAATTTTATCAAGGGTTTTGTTCGGCTATTCCTACACATGGAGCATATATTTAATGTACTCAAACATTTTTGGACACTTGATACCCTTATTTCATAATGTAGTAACTTTTTGTTTAGGAATAGTTTATGTAGTCATGGGTAAAGTAGAAATTCTTAATAGAAACAAAAGCAATGATTAATTATAGTGGACAATTACATCACCGACATGATGTGTGACAGCATCGACATGGAGCATTAATTGTTTTTTAACCACTAATAGAATGTCACTAGTTTCTTATAGAAATATCCATTCTACCCCTCATAATGACCAAAATACCCTTGATTGAAAAAATTTGTATTACAAATTAAGGGTATCTAAGTGTCCAAAAATGTTGAGTACATTAAGTACATACTTGATGTGTAGGAGTAGCCTAACAAAACCCTTTTATCAAATGTCAAGCTTATGAATGTGATCAAAGTCCCATCATAACGAAACAAATAGGATGAAACCATTGCCACATTAAATGTTAACTAAAAAAATTATGCGGCAGAGTTTTCATTATCAACACAAATTAATTACCGTAATTAAATTCGAACTACTTACACAAGTGTTTCTCAAGGAAAAATGATGAGTAACTATTGAAAGCTCATTGAGTTTGATCCATAGTTGTTGGAAATGGGAGCATTCCATAAGCATTTTAGGAATAGAAATGGATAGAAAACTCATTGGGTTTGATCCATAGTTGTTGGAAATGGGAGCATTCCGTGAGCATTCCAACCTTTTGGGAATCACGCTCCCAAACACTTGGAACAACATTAGTAATTATCAAGTCACAAGTTTCATAAGGCAAAAGATTTGAGGTTTTAGAGTAGCCTTAACCAAGAATCCCCTAATTTTGGAATCAATGTATTAAGTATTCTTAGTCAAGGTTGCCTTAGTATAGGAATCAAGGTCCGCAACCACACTAAACAAGGGTCTCCTTGGTATTGAGTATTTGAGTGCCGAATCACAGTTCCATGCAAGTGTTGAAATCAAGGTCATCAAATGCCCTTAACTAGATTTCCCCAAGTACTATAGTTTCAGTTCACTGGAGCTTCTATATTAAATAAAATAAGTAAAAGTATTTGATTTATTACTAATGAATTTCAAAAATCTTACCCAAAAAAAATTCAAAAATCTAAGGCATTAATTTTGGGTTCCGGACTTTAGGAATGATGTTAAGTAGAGTTCCTAGACACCCATCCTGATGTTTTTTTTTTTTTTTTTTGTACAATTCACCCATCCTGATATTATGCAGAGTTTCTAGACACCCATCCTCATTGAATTAAGAGAGTACAACTTATATTTTTTTTTATAAATTTTAAAGAACATAATGTTTCAAATAATGCTTAAAAAATTCCAAGTATTCCATAATATTTTTGCAATCATTCTACCACTAGGGAATGATGAAGTTTACCTTGTTTCAAATAATATTTAAAAAACAAAAGTATTCCACAATATTTATGCAACCAATCTCTCACTTGGGAATTATGAAAAAATAAAATTGCCGGATTGGGGGTTGGGATCTGATGCAATTTGCAGCTCAATGCATGAAATATCATTTGAATTTTGCCCATAAAATTTTTTTTTAAAAAAAATACTTTTAACAAGTTGGATTTTGCTCCCTTTAGAACTAGAAGATTTGGTTCTAAGTGTTTTAGGGGCTTTCATAAACCTCCCTCTTAGGGGTTAATAAGAGAAGAGAGGAAGCCTTAGGCGCAAAGTGGGTGGGCTGCAAGGGGATTAAGAAAATTAATAGGGACAATGAAAGGTGCTTAAAGACAAAAAACAAGGGGTGAAAGGGTTTAAGGGGTTCAAATAAATTTTTCGGGCGAAATATTTGTCGCAAGATATTTCGAAGTAACATTAGAGAGAATACTAGGATTGTGTTTCCTATTTTGGGGTGTACTGAGATATTTTCCTTACAAAATATGTAACATATATAAATTATATCACACAACTCAAATAGCTCCTTTTGTAGAGAATGTGGCCCTCATTCATATGGTTGGAGGTACGAACCCTCCTAAGTGTGCTCTTTATTTTTCAAATGTTACTATATGATATAGTTTTGAACAGTAAAAAAGGAAGGGTTGGAATCCCAAACCTTGTGGTTAACTATATTGAAGTACACTTTACCAGCCCATTGTAAGTCTCGAAGAGTTGTTAATTGACCCAATTTTCAGTTCATCATGACATGCCATATAGCGCTCTGAAAAAAAAACATAACCCAAAACTCCAACTGAAATTGGGAATCTCTAAGAAACATGAGTACGCATATATAATAATGTATTGCGGAACAAAAATAAAAAACAACCTTAGAACTGATAGCCCTTAAATGGTCATGAATCCCAAAATCACCAACTTGGCCTTTGAGCTTAAATGGTCATGAATCCCAAAATCTCCCACTTGGCCTTTGAGATATAGACATTTTATTGCAAGGTGCTTTGTCTGTTCAAAGCTTTGGAATTTAGGGTTTCTTTCCGCAACTCACTACTGCAATAGTTAGGATCATCAAAACTCAACAATTCTTTAGCACGGGGTTTTTGCTACTTCATCCTTTCATCACTTAGGCTTCCGCTTAGTGGGCATACATATCGATTTGGGTGAAGGAGGTCAAGCGCTCAAACCCTTGAAGTTTGTCCCAAAAGCCCAAGCATGCTGACCAAGACTTTTTTTTTCCCCTTTCAGGTCTCCAAAATTTACAGTTTCCATAACTCGAGGTATCAAAAACCATGTGACACTGCATCATTATGGTTTATGCAGCTCTGACCTTCTTGAAAGGTTTTGAAACTAAAGCCTTCTTCCACCGAAATTTATTTAGAAAGGAAGAAGCATGTCTTCACAATCCTCTACAACCTTTTTGCATCCATTCAATCTATCTTATCTTCCTTCTATTCAAGCTCTATAGTGTCTTTACAATTCGCTTGCCTATATATTCCATACAGGGTCTAAAGTTCCCCAAGTTTTAGAGAGAAATGTTGCTCTTGAGGGGATAACAGTCATCGTTAGAATGCCTGTGTTTAGTAATATGTTGGTTGGCTATTGACAGAGGTAAGAGCATGAGAGAGTTGCCAAAAAAAGGAGGGGGGAGGACAAATGAGTGGTTTGCAAACCAAATAATTGTGCTTTCAATCCATTTTTATCCCATTTTTTAAGCTTGTTTTAAGCGTTTAAAGTTGTTTTAGGTTTTATTTTACTTTTCCTACATTTTTCTATTTTTCACATTTTTCACATTTTTTTCGTTTATTAATACTTTTACAGCCTCTTGGCCCTGTGCAGGCCTCGGTCAAGTAATTCGCCTCAACCAATGGGCAAGTTCCTTGGTCAAGGTGAGTCCTGACACATTGAGTCTTAAAAATGAACTAATTCAAGAGACGCCATCAACTTATGGTTTGAAGTGGAAACCAAATGCGCCCTTTATTTTCATCCATGTCACCCATAATCTTCACCGTCCCACCCTAAAGCCTAAATAAAATAAAACTGAAAGGGCTATCATACCATATCTCGTAGCACCCTAAAATTTTCGGTCATTCATCCATCCACACCCTACATCAAAAACATAAGAACCCCAATCATCCGACCACACCATAACTAATAATCATAAACCCTAGTTTGGCAAAGCCCTGGCCTCACCAACCCTAGACAACTTAACATACACTCCTCGAACTCTACACAAACCTTGCAACCTAAACCCTAATTTTTCATCCACCACACTAACACAAAATAGCCATCAAACATAAACCTTAACTTCCATCCATGCCAACCATATATATTTTTCAACTCCCTACCCTAAACCCTAACCGTACCACCACACTATATCTCTTGGTGTCCTAAAACCCTGAAGTATTCATCCATCCATGCCCCATATCCAAAGGATTCAAACCCTAATCATCCAACCACGCCATACATTTTCTACCCAAAACCTTATTTACCAAAGACCTAACTCCGACAAGCACTTTGACCCACGCACAAGCACTGCAATCCAAACCCGGACCTATCCATAATCCTAAAAATCCAAACCTTAGTCCACTCATGTGCGATCTCTTTGACAATCCTACATTACATAGCCCACATTTTCATTAAAAATCATCTCTCTGTTTCTTTTTTTTCTTGAAGGGGACGGGGATTGAGATTGGCATTCGCGTCTTTAGGTTGCCTTTGAGTACCAGACACAACACCAAGCCACTGTCATTTCCCAAATTTCTGATCGTTTCTTTCACTGAAATTTGTGGCATATTACCAGGCTAAACAGTTTTTCTCTCATTCCAGGTACTGTAACCGTTAATAGAATCCTAGAAATCGTATGAATTGATATTCCCAGCATAAGTTTGAGATACCAAAAAATCCCTAACGACAAACCCAAAAAAGTACATTTCTTTGCCAAAGAAAAGAAAAATCAAACTGCACATCATAAAAATGTAATACAACAAGGCAAATTTCGTTGACAAAGAGAAGTAAAATCAACCCGCACAGATGAAAATAAAGTAAGGTAGAATGTTTTACCCAGGAAAAATGGGCGAAGAATAAAGTAGCTTTTTTGGGCAAATGAATAAAGTAGCATTGTCAGCATTGCTATCAGAAAAAGGGAAACAAGATAACCATTATCGAAGAACCAAGATTTTGGTAATGGATAGCATTTAAACAAGTATACACAAAGATGAGAGAGATAGAGAGCTATTTGACAAGCTAAGCGATTTTTTTACACTGAAACAGCACATAAACAAATCTCCAGTGAATGTGAGCGATAAAGTTGCAGACATTACATGGTATCCTGAGATCTAAGTAAGAATAGAGAGTGAAAACTCATACCATTTTGGGTGCGAACGTCTTGGCCTGACTGGCGTTCTCCCATTATATCAAGGGTTTGCGAGGAGATCGCCATAGGTGTCCGCCTGGTTCAGTGGGCGAGAAACTAGGGTCTGGTTCCGCGATGCTCTTTACAAAAAACTAGGGTTTCGAGATGGATCTCGTATGGAGTGTGCAGTGTTCAATTGTAGAGAGAGAGGGGAGAAGGGGTTTAGAGAGAGTCTGCTAAATGAATTTTGAGGGAAAAACGATGTGTTTCAAAAGGCATCTCGATTCTTCTCGTATAAAATTTAGGACCCAGTTTTTATGCGGCCAAGCCCGCATATGCAGAAATACGCGCCTTTTAATAAGTATTTTTTGAAATGGATTTTAAGAATTAATTTTTAATGACATGTAATCTATAATATGGAGGTCATGAATATAAAAAATAAATAAAATTTAAAAACTAAAAATAATAATTTTAATAAAAATGTATTTAAACTGTTAGTTTCAATTGTTTTTAGATAAACAAGAGTGATTTGAATGTCTTGTACTAAAACTAAATGGTGAGGGTAACTCAGATAGAAATAAATGGCAAGAATCCAAAGGGAATGTGTAGAGTTCCTATTAGTTAAAGTTACTATTGGATCAAGTTAGATTTAATGGACTTAAAAAAAAAAAAACCATGCGAAGCATTGCAAAATATAAGTATGAATATCATTTCACTTAGGTTTATATAAGGTGCCCACCTTATACTATATAACTAAGGCACACCATTAAATTTACCAATAAATTTTGTTTCGATGTTGGAAACCGTGTGATGGCTTAAAAATCTATATTCAACCCAAGTTATGAAATTTAAAAAATAGGCAAATCAAGCAGATCTATAAATTTTTTAAAATTTTGAAAATAAACGGTCTAGATAACTTGTTACAACATACACTATTTTCAGGACTTCAAATTATTTTTTTCTTCTATCTATATATCTTGATGTCCAAATAATCAATTAGAAGATATTCCAACTTTGAACCTCTATTTTCTATTGATTTTTTAGGTGCACTTTACTTCTACATTTTCAGTTTGGAGCCTTAGATAAGCTTTTTTTGTTAATATTTATCAAATTACTCGTGAGATGAACAATTTAATACTTTACTCATGTCTTTTGATTTTATTTGAAAATTTCCCGTAAGAAAACACATGATCTTGAGTAGAAATAGTTGCAAATGGTTAGATTTATATCTTATGTTTATTTTGATCAATTCCCTAAGTATCAATTTTAAAAATAAAATTTGCAATTTATTGGTATGAAGGTTATGAAGTTGGAATATTTTAATGTTGGATGAGGTCACCATAGATCTTATGATAGCCTATAAATCTATATCACCTTTAACTGTAGAATTTGAAGCCAAAAAAATATGTAGATCATGCATTCTTATGAACATTTGAAATGGACAGATCATAAAATGTTTTGCACAATACATTATTATAGGAGCTTCAAATCCTACGAATATTTGTAGATTATGATAAAATAGAGGAAGGTTAAAGAGAGGTTATATCAGGCGAGCTTGCCAACAATCCCTATATCTCACACCATCCATCTGAGCTGGACAATGGAGATTGCATCCAGAAATGGAGAAAAGGTGTAACTTTCATTGTCCAACTAAATTGGATGGTGCGGATGGTTGGCCCTCATGCACCCGTACCACTCATAAAACACTTTTACCTAAACAATAATATGTATTTTGTAGAAACGAAAAACAATCCACGAAAACAAGAAGAATAAACAAACACAAAAGAAATAGATAATCAACCACAACATAAAGATATACGTGGTTCGACAACATGCTTACGCCCACGGGAGATGGGAACTTCTTTATTGGCAATGGAGAATAGGGTTACAATAGCTCTATTCCTCACGTATCTCTGTTCTCTCTTATTACAAAAGAGATCTGTGTTTTTTCCCTTAACCCTAAAAAACCCCACATCGCAACAATATATATCAAGTCCCAAATAGATGGTACAAATTACCAAAATACCTTATGTACATATATATATATATATATATATATATATATATATATATATATATCGAATCCCATGTATGGATATCCGAAAGCCCTCCGGGCATTTAACGGACCTCCGGATTTTTTACCATTAGCAAGAACTTGTTTCAGTTGCATATCATAGGGGATTCTAACAACCGCTTCAAAATACAATATCAAGAAGCACAGCTTGTGGAACCTCAATATCCACAGGCTTATTAGCTAAATGACAATTAGCACATACAATACGTCCAGTTGCTTCTCGCGAATTTTCATAACCCCGCTGCGTCCTTTTGACTTCACCTTGGCAGATCTATTTTATCATAATACAAGGCATCAATCTTCAACAATCTCCACCTTGGCTTGAATTTTGTCGAGCCACTCTGAAGATAACCTGAATATGTCTCTATCCCTGTACCTCCAAAAAGGGACGTGACTGCACCCCCACCTATCATGGGGTGCTTCCCTCAGTCTCAACAATGAGTGACATTAAGCAAGTCCAAGTAAAGCTTGAACTTCTCCATAGTGACCGGCTTTATAAGTATATTTGAAGGGTTGTCATTTGTATGAATTTTTTTCATGTGAATGATTCTTTCTGATACAAGCTCCCTGATATTGTGATATTGCACATCAATGTGTTTTGTCCTTGTATGAAACACTTGATTCTTTGCAATATTTATGACACTCTGACTATCATAATACAACACAATACCTTGCTCCACCCCCAACTCACGAGCCAAACCAGTCGACCAGATCGCCTCCATTGCAACATCAACTGCTCCCATGTACTCTGCCTCTGTCGTAGACAAGGTAATCGTGGGTTGAAGCATTGCCTTTCATGAAATAGTTCCACCTGCTAGTGTGAAGACATACCTTGTAGTATACCTCCGCTTGTCTAAATCACCAGCATAGTCGAAATCAACATATCCCACTAGTTTTGTAGAGCTTATCTTCCTACTGAACATAATTCCAAGATCTAACGTCTTACTCAGACATCTAAAAATCCACTTGATTGCATTCCAATGTTCCATGCCAGGATTACATGTATTGACTAACAACACTGACAGCATGAGATAAATCCGGCCTGCTACCAACTATAGCATACATAAGGCATCCGACTGCACAAGCATAAGGCATCAGAGACATCTGCTCTATCTCCTCATCCATAGTGAGATACTGTTGTTCAGATAACTTGAAATGACTCGTCAATGGAATGGTAACTGACTTGGCATTTTTCATGTTGAAACGCTTTAGCACATTTTCTACATACCTTTTATGAGTTACCCAGAGTTTACCTGCACTTTTATTTATATGAATCTTCATACCAATGATCCTATTAGCAACCCCTAGATTCTTCATATCAAACTCATAACTTAACATAGACTCAAGAGAGGTTATGTCATATGCATTATTGGCAGCGATGAGCATGTCATCAACGTAAAGCATCAAGAGAATAAGGGAATTATCATAAAAAACTTTAAAATAAATACAACAATTATACTCACTTCTTAAATAGCCAATTCGTACCATAAAATAGTCGAAGCGCTTGTACCACTGCCTGAGAGATTGTTTAAGACCATAAAGCGATCTCTTGAGCAGGCAAATTTGATCTTCCTTTCCATGCACCTTGAAGTCTTCAGGTTGCTCCATAAAGATTTGTTCATCCAGATCACTATGAAGAAACATTCTCTTCACATCAAGTTGTTATAGCTCCAAATCAAACATGGCTACTAAAACAAGTAATAACCTTATTGAAGTGTGCTTAACAACTGTCACGCCCCAAGAATTTACAATACTAATATTCTTGAGATGTGACAGTCAAAACATATATACATCTCTTTTTAGGACAAATTTACAATGGCGAATTATTACAAAGTAACAAAAGAAAGCTTAAGCACAACTACAATATCTTCCAAAGTTTATCCTGACGAGCACTCAAAATGAAACCGCAATTATTCTGAAAAAATGTTTACCATAGTTTGATGAGTTTGGCTACTCAGTAAGTGATTATCGTAATCCTAAAAATAATCATGGTTGAAAGATATCAATATTTTCAAAAAGGAGATCTATTAACATAAATGCGTCAACAGTTTCACTTTCAAAAATGCATAATTAAGTATAATTCAAAATGCGTATAAAATTTTAACGTCAGTGGATAATTCAAAAGATTTCACAAAATACCCTACTAGCGTCCCAAGTACGTTACCTATATACCCCATCAGCGTCCTGATGGGTCAACTTAATCCCTATTGGCGTCCCAGATAGGTCCACTTAATCCCTACAGGTCCACTCATCTGTGCTGGATTGTACATCTGTGGTTACAAAAACTCTATATGTAACTATATCCCCTATCAACCTGTACACGTTCCCATCCATCTGACATTTCATGACAACCATAGATCCCATACTAACCTTGAATACTCCACCTGTTGCTGTATACTTGCAATCATTCGAGTCAAAAGCCTCCAAGGATATTAAGTTTTTCTTTAATTGTGGGATATGCCTCACATCTGATAAGATTCGTACTATCCCAGCAAATATTTTGATTTTGATAGTTCTTATTCCAATGGTCTTGCATATCGCATCATTCCCCATTAGAACAGACCCACCACTATATAATTTGTAGGTTTCGAACCAGTTTCTTTTTGGGCACATATGAAAAGAACATCCAGAATCTAAAATCCAAGAATCAGTAAATTAATTCTTACCTGAAGATATAGAGAGAAGATCCCCATAATCTCTGTCAGAGCTATCAACCATGCTAGCTTCATCAGATGCTTTTCCTATTTCTATCATCTTTATATCATTATTTCTTTTTGTATAATCTCTCTTCATGTGATCTTCCTTTTTGTAGTAATAGCAAATAAACTTGCCCTTCTCTTTTGATTTTGACCGACTTCTGCTTCCAGACCTTCTTTGATTTGATCTGCCCCTTTCATGACTCTCTTTGTGTTTTCCAAAGAAATATTCTCCTTGTGATTTAATACTGCTAGCCTTCTTCATTGTCTCGTTTAACATAAGAGTAGCAGTAATTTCGTTTGTCTCAAGAGTCTCCTTCCCATACAGTAGAGTCGTAACCAGGTAATCGTATGATCATGAAAGCGAAGCCAACAAAAGAAGGGCATTGTCTTTATTTTCGATTTCAACCTCAAGGCTTGCTAACTGGCTTATGATCTGGTTGAACTCGTTGAGATGTTCAAGCAGATCCGTATCTTCTTCCATCTGAAGAGAATACAACTACTTCTA